TCTCCGCTATCTCCTCTCTCCAGCTCATCAAAATTCCAGCGATTTTTGATCAGCAATGCCACTCCTCCACCCCCCCTGTTCCCTCTGTCTTTCCTCAGGATTTGGTATCCCGTTGGAAAGATGGCATCTGTTGTCATACCTGTAAGCTTGGTTTCTGTGAGAGCTATGATGTCCGGTGATGCTTCTTTGACTCTTTCATGCCACTCCTCCCACTTATTTGTTATTCCATCAGCGTTTGTGTACCATACCTTCAGTTTCCTTTCCAACACTGTGGTTTGGGGGGCCTGTGAGGGTGGGAGACCTGGTGGCATACTGTGGGATTCTATAGCTCGGTGTTGGGTGGAGGCTGTGGGTATGGATTGTAGTGTGTGTTGGGATGGTGTGATAGGTTGTATGGTTCTGAGAATAGTTGTGTGTGTGCTTGCCCTTGCTGTTCTGTTCTGCTCTGACTGACCTCTGCTGGTTCCCTCCTTGTCTCTTTTCCTAGCTCCTCTCGCTTTTTTGTCCTCTCCCTCAGCTGCTGTCGTTCTGATTTTGTTCTGTCTCTGTCTAGGAACACCCTCTTGTACTTTCCGAGTATTTCAATCGTGGTTTCTCTTGGAGGATCCTGTTCCGCACTGTTTCCGTCCTGAGAATCAGCTTGATTGGTCGGTTTCTCCCCTTCGAGTACCCCCTATTCTCTGAAAATTTACAATCTCGTCCATCTCTTCACCTATTTCCGTGATGATTTTCTCAATCTCCTTTCTTTCTTCCTGCTGCCTTTCAGTGTGTGTCCTTTCCTCTCTCTCCTGAAGCCCATGGATAAACAATGATTTTGCCCTTTCTTCCTCCCATTGCCTCACCCTCTGTAACTCTGGATCCTGCCTGTATGTGGTCAGTTTCTCCCTTGATTTTTCCAGTGGCTCTTGATAGCCTGGTTGTGCCTCTGCATTCGACCTATCACCCTCTCCATCTGCAACCAGCTGATCTTCCCTTTCACTCCTTGGTCCTCCTTGGCAGACTGATATGACCTTAGCATAATTCATAATTCTTTCCTTCCTGTTCGGCCTCGCAGCTTCATATGCTGTGTCTTCTCTGGTCAGTGCCCCTGTAACTCGCTTCAGCCTATTTATCTCAACTTCTAGGACCCTTATCTTGGCTACTGCAGTTTCGACTTGTGCCTCCCAATTCTTTGTCTCCTTCTCCAACCTCTTTTCCAATTTCACAGAGAGCTCTTTCTCCATTTTTTCAGAAAGCTCTCCTAATTTTCTCTCCCACTCTTGTTCCATCCTTTTCCACTGCTCCTCCATCCACTCCTCCCTACCAGAACCATTCTCATCTGATCCTTGGTTCCTGCGAGTCCCCACCATTTTTTTTTTTTTTTTTTTTTTTTTTTTTTTTTTTTTTTTTGTGAGAAAAGAGAGAAGGGAAAGGTAGAGGGGCAGAGAGAGTGAAGGGAAGAGTAGGAGAGGGGGGAGTTAGAAGGGAAAATGGGGACGAGAGAGAGCAAGAGAGAGAGAGAGAGAGCAAGAGAGAGAGAGAGAGAGAGAGAGAGAGAGAGAGAGAGAGAGAGAGAGAGAGAGAGAGAGAGAGAGACGGGCAGAAAGCAGCAACTTCACTCTGGCTGTACCCTTCTCCAGAACATCACTCCATCTGAGATCATACATACCCAGGATGACTCGAGTATGGAACACATTCGTACAGCATAATGATGTCAACGAGATAACGTCAGTTGATCAAATGAAAATGCTGGCCCACAGATGGCTCCAACTTCGTCCTGTTCCCTACTTGTATGTCTCATAACAAAAATGCTTTCAAATGAGCTGATGTAGGTAACAGCTCTTAGCTTGCCAATAAAGTTAGGAATCCTTAACCTGTAAATAGCTGTCAATAAAGCTAGGGATCCTTAACCTTGTCAAACCCTGTGTAAAAAAAAAAAAAAAAAAAAAAAAAAAAAAAAAAAAAGAGAGAGAGAGAGAGAGAGAGAGGAGAGAGAGAGGGAGAGAGGGAGAGAGAGAGAGAAAGAGAAGGCAAAGAGGGGGAGAGAGAGGGGGCAGAGAGGGGGAGAAGGGGGAAAGAGGGGGGAGATGGAAGAGCAGAGGGGAGAGAGGCTAGGGGGAGAGGGAGGGGAGGATGGGAGAGAGGTGGGGAAAGGGAGAGGGGAGAGATAATGGGAGGGGACAGATGTTAGAGGGGGAGAGATGTTAGAGGGGGGGGAGGTGTTAGAGGTAAGAGATGTTAGAGGGGAGAGGATGGGAGAGGGAAGAAGAGAGAGAGAGAGATAGGTAGAGAGTGATAGGTAGAGAGAGAGATATAGGTAAAGAGTGAGAAAGGTAGAGATAGGTCTACTTAGGGTAGAAAGAGGGGGGGAGAGGAGAAAGGTTCAGATGGTCAGTTCACAGGACGGTGTGAAATCCTGTTATGTTTTGTTTGCGTGTTACACAGCTTAAAGTTTGTTTTCCTGTGTGTTAGTGTATGTTATGTGTGTGTTGTATGGGTGTGTGTGGGGTAGGTTGTGTGTGTGTTGGTGGTGTGTGTTATGTGTGTGGTATGTGTGTGTGTGTATGTGTGTGTGTGTGGTTTGTTGTGTATGGGTGTGGTGTGTGTGTTGTGTATGTGTGGGTATGTGTGTGTGTGTGTATGTGTGTGGTAGGGTGTGTGTATGTGTGTGTATGTGTGTGTGTGGGTGTGTGGGTGTTGTATGGGTGTGTAGGGTTGTGTGTATGTGATGTGTATGTGTGTGGTCGGGGGTTGTGGCTGGGGTGCGTGTGTCTCACCTTTTTGTACTCCCCTATTTGGGGTTTTGCGGGGGGTCGGCCTGCCCCTGGCCCCCCCTTTCACCGGTTGCTTAGGGCCCCCTCTTCCCCCCTCCATGGCTTTTTCAAACCTCTCTTAAAACTGGTATGGTTCCTGCTTTCCCCTAGTCATTTTCTAGGCTATTCCCCTGCCTTTCAACCTTTTGACTGAAGAAATACTTCCTACTATCTCTCTATCTTTTTGTCTTCAACTTCCAATCGTGGCCCCTTTTTTTCCCGTGTCCCCCCCCTGGGGAAAATCCCGTCTTTGTCCCCTTTCTATTCCCCCAGTATTTTATTGTCGTTTTATCATGTCTCCCCTGACCCTCCTATCTCCATGTGTCATGCCGATTTCCCTTAAACTTCTTCTGGACATTCCCCTTAGCTCGGAACTAACCTTGTCGCAAACCTTTGTATTTCTTATTTCTTGACGTGCTTTATCAAGTGCGGGTTCCAAACAGGTGCTGCATACTCCAGTATGGGCCTGACATACACGGTGTACAGTGTCTTGAATGATTCCTTACTAAGGTATCGGAATGCTGTTCTCAGGTTTGCCAGGCGCCCATATGCTGCAGCAGTTATCTGATTGATGTGTGCTTCCGGAGACATGCTCGGTGTTATACTCACCCCAAGATCTTTCTCCTTGAGTGAGGTTTGCAGTCTTTGGCCACCTAGCCTATACTCTGTCTGTGGTCTTCTGTGCCCTTCCCCTATCTTCATGACTTTGCATTTGGCAGGATTAAATTCGAGAAGCCATTTGCTGGACCAGGTGTCCAGTCTGTCCAGGTCTCTTTGAAGTCCTGTGTGTGCGTGTGTGTGTGTGTGTGTGTGTGTGTGTGTGTGTGTGTGTGTGTGTGTGTGTGTGTGTGTGTGTGTGTGTGTGTGTGTGTGCCCCCACTTCTAAGTATTCATACTGCTAATGAATACCGGTAGATACCAGTAATTCTAAGCTTACCAATACTTGTAACACTTATCGATTCTACTTCTAAAATTCAGAAAGTAGCTAGGTTGTAAAATTTAGCTTGTCTCAGCTTAAGTGTCTGACGTTATCCCTCACTACCGCTTTACTCCTTGCACTCTCCTCTATGCTATTTCTACTCTAATTCTGGTAATGGCTTGCAGGAGTGAGTGACCAGTATCTAACAGTGATGCAGGACCAGACTCAATCTTGCAATATGCAACCTCAACAGGTGGAATACTTGCGCTGACAGCGGTGTGATGACAAGTTGCCAGAAGCTGATGACGTAGTGGTCGTACATAGGCCTTCTCTCACTATTTTGTAACTCCTTCACCCGTGATGTTTATCATCATATATGCTCATGCATCCCGCGTTCCTCAAGTGATTTCACTTTTCACTTATTACAGAATACACTTCACATTCGGTGTTACACTTTATATGTATAATGGCATACAAACTGGTGTGACGTCACTGCTTCAGTAGGCCTACTGCCACCTTCCCTTGTTGTATATTTTATTTTTTCTTTCTCCTTTTGCCTATTAACTTTTTCACTCTCACATTACGGTGCCCCACATTTCGCTTGTTAACCAAACGCTGGTAATTCTTGATCACCCGTTTCCACACTCACTTTGATATTTTTATGTTTGTATCTGTGTGGCAACAGTGCCTAGTAGATCCACAACGGTTTGGCACTTTTAAAAGAAAATACTGAATTTAGGTTTCCCCTCGAATTTTTTCAACTAATAACTATAGTTATCACTCGTAGGTTTGTTCACTGACTTTTTCACTACCACTGATTACTGCTAGGGGTTGTTGCACCCCTCAAAAACACGAAGGTTCTCGGAGCCTTGTGTACCCACGTCTGCACCCACCATGTGTGTCTGTGTGTGTGTGTGTGCGTGTGTGTGTGTGTGTGCGTGTGTGTGTGTGTGCGTGTGTGAGTGTGTGTGCGTGTGTGTACTCACCTAGTTGAGGTTGCGGGGGTCGAGTCCGAGCTCCTGGCCCCGCCTCTTCACTGATCGCTACTAGGTCACTCTCCCTGAGCCGTGAGCTTTATCATACCTCTGCTTATAGCTATATGTGTGTGTGTGTGTGTGTGTGTGTGTGTGTGTGTGTGTGTGTGTGTGTGTGTGTGTGTGTGTGTGTGTGTGTGTGTGTGTGTGTGTGTGTCTGTGTCTGTGTGAGAGAGGGAGAGCATATGTGTGTTTTAAGCATTTTTTAGCACGTTTCAATGAGCAAAAATTCAGGCTATATATTTACTGACGCACTTTCAAATAAGGGACTGATGCTGAGTCTTTTTCCCATATCACCGTTACGGAAGAGTCGTCCATCACGTCACGAAGAGACTGGTAGGGTTGTGGGATGTGTCTCACTGCCAAGAGAGCCATGAGGTTGCCTGAGTAGCTCCGTGTAATAACCAGTGTGATCATCATCCACACTACTAACAACATCCTCTCCCACCAGTAGCATATGGGAACCGTCATATCTGTAATGATGTTAAGAGTAACTCTGTGTTATTTACTAACAAATGAAAGGAGGCGTTTACAGGCAGATCGAAAGAGAAGGTCACCTTATTGACAAGTATGTTCAAGGAAAAAGTAAAGAAAGGATAAGACAAGCTAAAAAGAAATGACGTCATTGAGGGAATCAAAGACCAACCAAAAGAGTTTCTTTTGGGAGCCTAAAATTAGAGTAAGGAACAGATAGTCCGATTTAATTACACTAAATGCAAATAAGGTCAGCTTGTTGCTCTCGAGAAAGTAATGCGAACCATTGCTATCTGTTATTTTATCGCTATTTTTAAGAAGAGGATATAAAAACGAAATACCATCATTAGAAAATAATACACGTTAGAAAGAAAATAAATTATGCAAGAATAAAGTCACTAGTGACATGGTCCTCAGATAACTAGACTGACTGAAACCAAATTACCTGACCTTGACGAGCTGGTCAGAGGTGGAAAATGGCAAATGAGATACCAGTTTATGAAGCCGGAGATAGGTTCTTAGATTCAAATTCTAGTCCAGTTCCTCTTTCTTCAATTGTGAGGAAGGTGATGGAATAAATAAATGTGGATTCTATTTAGGTTAAAAAATTTGGTTAAAAAATCTCTGCACGGTTTTTCGAAAATGTGTTATTGCCATACGAAATTACGAAACTTTTTCCACTAATATATTTGAGATTGTATATTATGATAAATAATGCTATGTTAGATCTACAAATCTTTTATTGAGTGATATACAGAAGAAAAAACTAATCTCTGGGGATTAGGTAAGAGAGTTTGCATAACCGGGGAGTAATTGAGGAGTAATTGGGGAGTAATTGGGGAGTAATTGAGGAGTAATTGGGGAGTAATTGAGGAGTAATTGGGGAGTAATTGAGGAGTAATTGGGGAGTAATTGAGGAGTAATGGGAGTAATTGGGGAGTAATTGAGGAGTAATTGGGGAGTAATTGAGGAGTAATTGGGGAGTAATTGAGGAGTAATTGGGGAGTAATTGAGGAGTAATTGGGGAGTAATTGAGGAGTAATAGGGGAGTAATTGAGGAGTAATTGAGGAGTAATTGGGGAGTAATTGAGGAGTAATTGGGGAGTAATTGAGGAGTAATTGGGGATTAATTGAGGAGTAATTGGGGAGTAATTGAGGAGTAATTGGGGAGTAATTGAGGAGTAATTGGGGAGTAATTGAGGAGTAATTGGGGAGTAATAGGATAATTGAGGAGTAATTGGGGTAAGGGAGTAATTGAGGAGTAATTGGGGAGTAATTGAGGAGTAATTGGGGAGTAATTGAGGAGTAATTGGGGAGTAATTGAGGAGTAATTGGGGAGTAATTGAGGAGTAATTGGGGAGTAATTGAGGAGTAATTGGGGAGTAATTGAGGAGTAATTGGGGAGTAATTGAGGAGTAATTGGGGAGTAATTGAGGAGTAATTGGGGAGTAATTGAGGAGTAATTGGGGAGTAATTGAGGAGTAATTGGGGAGTAATTGAGGAGTAATTGGGGAGTAATTGAGGAGTAATTGGGGAGTAATTGAGGAGTAATTGGGGAGTAATTGAGGAGTAATTGGGGAGTAATTAATTGGGAGTAATTGGGGAGTAATTGAGGAGTAATTGGGGAGTAATTGAGGAGTAATTGGGGAGTAATTGAGGAGTAATTGGGGAGTAATTGAGGAGTAATTGGGGAGTAATGAGGAGTAATTGGGGAGTAATTGAGGAGTAATTGGGGAGTAATTGAGGAGTAATTGGGGAGTAATTGAGGAGTAATTGGGGAGTAATTGGAGGAGTAATTGGGAGATGGAGTAATTGAGGAGTAATTGGGGAGTAATTGAGGAGTAATTGGGGAGTAATTGAGGAGTAATTTGGGGAGTAATTGAGGGTATGGAGTAATTTGGGAGTAATTGGAGTAATGGAGTAATTGGGGAGTAATTGAGGAGTAATGGGGAGTAATTGAGGAGTAATTGGGGAGTAATTGAGGAGTAATTGGGGAGTAATTGAGGAGTAATTGGGGAGTAATTGAGGAGTAATAGGGGAGTAATTGAGGAGTAATTGGGGAGTAATTGAGGAGTAATTGGGGAGTAATTGAGGAGTAATTGGGGAGTAATTGAGGAGTAATATGGGGAGTAATTGAGGAGTAATTGGGGAGTAATTGAGGAGTAATTGGGGAGTAATTGAGGAGTAATTGGGGAGTAATTGAGGAGTAATTGGGGAGTAATTGAGGAGTAATTGGGGAGTAATTGAGGAGTAATTGGGGAGTAATTGAGGAGTAATTGGGGAGTAATTGAGGAGTAATTGGGGAGTAATCAGAAAGGGAACCCATTTCAAATGGTCAGTATTAGGTGCCCGTCTTGTTTGCCAACTCTGTTGACTTCATAAATGAGAGAGATAAAATATCAATAACGGAAATTTCGTAGATATCCCTAAAATAGATCGTCCATATATTTCTGATGTAGACTAAAGTCTACAGAATGATCTGGAAAGGTCAATATTGGGTCGGAGATGTAGCAGACACAGGTGAATATTGAAAAAATTATGCTTTTAATCCTGGTTTAAGAAAATAACCATAGTACGAATATAAATAACGTAGATCTTGGTCAAAATGAAGGAGGATAAGATATAAGAACAATGAATTACAGAAATTCAGTTGTTTTGATGAGGCGGATCACAGCTGTTTATGAAATTCTGCGTCTGGCAGTGAGACCACAGTTCTTACACTGCGAGAACTACATGGCCAAGCGCAGAATTACATGGCCAAGCGCAGAACTACATGGCCAAGCGCAGAACTACATGGCCAAGCGCAGAACTACATGGCCAAGCGCAGAACTACATGGCCAGGCTCAGAACTACATGGCCAAGCGCAGAACTACATGGCCAAGCGCAGAACTACATGGCCAAGCGCAGAATTCGGGAAGCATCAGTGAACCGCACCAGAAGAATCATTAAGCATAACAAAGGAACGTACACGTTGGCTGGACTTAGTACTTATGTTCTCCAGGATTCATACAATAATTATCACCATAAGCTTCACCAGTACCTCACCTCACAATAATTATCACCATAACCTTCACCAGTACCTCACCTCACAATAATTATCACCATAAGCTTCACCAGTACCTCACCTCACAATAATTATCACCATAACCTTCACCAGTACCTCACCTCACAATAATTATCACCATAACCTTCACCAGTACCTCACCTCACAATAATTATCACCATAACCTTCACCAGTACCTCACCTCACAATAATTATCACCATAACCTTCACCAGTACCTCACCTCACAATAATTATCACCATAAGCTTCACCAGTACCTCACCTCACAATAATTATCACCATAAGCTTCACCAGTACCTCACCTCACAATAATTATCACCATAAGCTTCACCAGTACCTCACCTCACAATAATTATCACCATAACCTTCACCAGTACCTCACCTCACAATAATTATCACCATAACCTTCACCAGTACCTCACCTCACAATAATTATCACCATAACCTTCACCAGTACCTCACCTCACAATAATTATCACCATAAGCTTCACCAGTACCTCACCTCACAATAATTATCACCATAAGCTTCACCAGTACCTCACCTCACAATAATTATCACCATAACCTTCACCAGTACCTCACCTCACAATAATTATCACCATAACCTTCACCAGTACCTCACCTCACAACACTTCATCTCTTAAATTATGACCTCATATGTGACGTGTTTTCACAATAACGTTATGCGTAACATGCCTTTCCCCGATGTTGGCGTCATGGCGTCATGGCGTCATGGCGGTGAATTTACTCATTTCTTGATAAAGCAATAGAGTCCGGCATTGGGGAAAACTCTATATGAAAAGCAGAGTTAGAGCAATAACTGAAATTTTTACTGTTACCGATACACAATTTTCAGCCGATACCGATACTTTTACTATACTTTTTATTTTTAAAATTATAATGACTTTGTTCAATAAGGAAATTCTTATTGTTCAATAGATATGAAATAATGAAGAAAGTTGAAATATATGTCGTGCCGAATAGGTAAAACTTGAGATTTTGGCTTAAAAAGCAACGCTCTTCTTGTCGAATAAGGCACACGAAAGTTTGTGTATGCAATAATTTCGCAAAAATCATTCTGAACCTAACGATAAAAAATATATTTCATTGTGTTTGTTTATTGTTAAATTACTGTAAACTTACCTGAAATATATTTAGTTGGGTTAGCCTAAATTAAATTGCGTTTGTTATAATGAGGTTAGTTAAGTTTTCTAAGGTTCTTTTGGTATAAAATTATTAATTTTTACATTAACAAAGTGAAAAATATATACCTTTAAACGTATAAGAGAAATTTTTAAAAAAGATTTAATTTAAAATGAGTTCTTGTTAATTCACCAGTTTTATTGATTTCATTGAATTTAAGTAATATTAAATAAATTTGAAACATACATAATTAGTTTCGATGTGGATAAGATAAGATAAGATAAGATTTCGTTCGGATTTTTAACCCCGGAGGGTTAGCCACCCAGGATAACCCAAGAAAGTCAGTGCGTCATCGAGGACTGTCTAACTTATTTCCATTGGGGTCCTTAATCTTGTCCCCCAGGATGCCACCCACACCAGTCGACTAACACCCAGGTACCTATTTGCTGCTAGGTGAACAGGACAACAGGTGTAAGGAAACGTGTCAGAATGTTTCCACCCGCCGGGAATCGAACCCGGGCCCTCCGTGTGTGAAGCGGGAGCTTTAGCCACCAGGCCACCTGGATAGTTTCTTTACTTGACTTCTTATTAAAGCTACAACTGTATTTTTTAGACGTCAATTCTTTGAAAATCTTCTAAATCTCAGTGTTTTTCTTGAATTTCCCTTCCATAGTTTTGGAAACAAAAGGCGAGATAGAAAAAATTATGGGTTGCCGATGGAAAAATAATGAAAAAATAACGAACCATTATTTTCTGTTTTATAACACTACACTTACCTTGCTGTAGCAATATCCGTATGTAGTCGAATGTGCGGGATAACCATTTATTCTTGTAGTCACTGGCGAGGAAGAAGCAAGAAGACATGAGAAACAACGAGGCAGCTAGCACCATCAACGCCACTATGATTGCCACCCACACAGTCGGTGACATGGGAAACAGAAAACTCCAGGGATCCACCTCAGGAAGTCCCCGGGCTCCAAGGATCCTCCAGTAGTCTATCAGTATTGGAACCGTGAAGTCCACCACCTCGGCTCTCCATCTGTCAACCATGAAAGGTCCAGCACCAATGCTTACCTCCTGTAGAAGAAAATAAATAGTTATTACGAAATTACTAATAGTTATTATATCACGCATTATAAAATATTGTCTTGTATAGTAACTTATGTGAATAACTGTAATACAGCTGTCATAAGAACATAATTATTGACAAGCGTTGCAGTAGAGCCTACTGGTCCACACAAGGAAGGTCTATATTAAATCCAACTCGACTCACTAATTTCTTTCCGAGTCACTACAAAGCAAACATGTGTTGAATGTTAGTTGGGTGTGTATAGTATTGGTCAATATTTTTGCTGTGGTGCACCTCTATTCTTAAGTAATGTTTGGGAGTGAGTCGGACCTCCCCGACACTATGAATACTGCAGCGATCCTCTGTTCGTATCTTCTTAAGGTCATATAATTAATATTTTTAACGCGATGATATAATGTACATATACATACACACACACACACACACACACACACAGAGGTATGATAAAGCTCACGGCTCAGGGAGAGTGACCTAGTAGCGATCAGTGAAGAGGCGGGGCCAGGAGCTCGGACTCGACCCCCGCAACCTCAACTAGGTGAGTACAACTAGGTGAGTACACACACACACATTATATATATATATATATATATATATATATATATATATATATATATATATATAAATATATATATAAATTTATATTATATATATATATATATATATATATATATATATATATATATATATATATATATATATATATATATATATATATATATATATCTATATATATATATATATATATATGCAAAAAGATCACAGTAAACAGGTGTGTGAAGGACCTGTCTAGTTGGGCCGGCGGGCCTGCTGCAGTGTTCCCTTTCTTATGAGTCTCGCGTCAGGTGTTTCTTTGTTGTGGGATCTGATAGTTAGGTGTGGGCTACCCCTTTATATACCTTCCTTTGATGCTTTACTTTCATTGTTCCTTGATAATGTGAGTAGTCACCAAAGTGCTTGGAATTTCTCTATTCTTTCACAGTGGTTGTTTTGCATATATATATAATATATATATATATATATATATATATATATATATATATATATATATATATATATATATATATATATATATATATATATATATATATATATATATATAATATATATATATATATATTATAGTATATGTATTAATATATACAGTATATACGTCATCAATGATTATAAAAAGCCTGTAATTGTTTTACATGATGGTATGATTGCTGGTGTTTTTTTTGTCTCATAAACATGAAAGATTTCAGGTACGTTTTGCTACTTCTACTTACATTTAGATCACACTACACATACATACAAACGTTTATGTATACACAATTATCTGAGTTTTCTTTGATTTTACCTTAATAGTTCTTGCTCTTATTGCTTTTCCTTTTATATTCATGGGGAAGTGGAATAAGAATGTTTCCTCCATAACCTAAAGAAGGAGTAGCAATAATGTTGAAGGATAAGTTATGGCAGGGAAAGAGGGAATATAAATTTATTAATTCAAGTATTAAATGGAGTAAAATAAGAGTTGGATGTGAGAAGTGGGTTATAGTAAGCGTTTATGCACCTGGAGAAAAGAGAAGTGTAGAGGAGAGAGAGAGATTTTGGGAAATGTTGAGTGAGTGTATGGGGAGTTTTGAACCAAGTGTGAGAGTACTTGTGGTTGGGGATTTCAATGCTAAAGTGTGTAAAAATGTTGTGGAGGGAGTAGTAGGTAAGTTTTGGGTTCAAGGGGTATGTGAAAATTGGGAGCCTTTAATTGAGCTATGTGTACAAAGAAGTTTGGTAATAAGTAATACATATTTTATGAAAAAGAGGATATATAAGTATACAAAGTATGATATAGCACGTAATGAAAGTAGTTTGTTAGATTATGTTTTATTATTATGTTTTTATTATCACACTGGCCGATTCCCACCAAGGCAGGGTGGCCCGAAAAAGAAAAACTTTCATCATCATTCACTCCATCACTGTCTTGCCAGAAGGGTGCTTTACACTACAGTTTTTAAACTGCAACATTAACACCCCTCCTTCAGAGTGCAGGCACTGTACTTCCCATCTCCAGGACTCAAGTCCGGCCTGCCGGTTTCCCTGAACCCCTTCATAAATGTTACTTTGCTCACACTCCAACAGCACGTCAAGTATTAAAAACCATTTGTCTCCATTCACTCCTATCAAACACACTCACGCATGCCTGCTGGAAGTCCAAGCCCCTCGCACACAAAACCTCCTTTACCCCCTCTCTCCAACCTTTCCTAGGCCGACCCCTACCCCTCCTTCCTTCCACTACAGATTGATACACTCTTGAAGTCATTCTGTTTCGCTCCATTCTCTCTACATGTCCGAACCACCTCAACAACCCTTCCTCAGCCCTCTGGACAACAGTTTTGGTAATCCCGCACCTCCTCCTAACTTCCAAACTACGAATTCTCTGCATTATATTCACACCACACATTGCCCTCAGACATGACATCTCCACTGGTTGATGGGTAGGCTCCAGGATGTACACGTTTATAGAGAGGAAACTGATATATCTGATCATTATCTAGTTGTAGCTACAGTTAGAGTAAGAGGTAGATGGGACAAAAGGAAAATGACAACAACAAGTAAGAGAGAGGTGAAAGTGTATAAACTAAGGGAGGAGGAAGTTAGGGTGAGATATCAGCAACTATTGGCAGAAAGGTGGGCTAGTGTAAGTATAAACAGTGGGGGTCATCAAGAGGGTTGGGATAGTTTTAAAAATGCAGTATTAGAATGTGGGGCAGAAGTTTGTGGTATAGGAGGGTGGGTGAAGGAAGAAAGAGGAGTGATTAGTGGAATGATGAAGTATAGGATGTGATAAAAGAGAAAAAGGTAGCTTATGAGAGGTTCTTACAAAGTAGAAGTGTTATTAGAAGAGTAGAGTATATGGAGAGAAAAAGAAAGGTGAAGAGAGTAGTGAGAGAGTGCAAAAGGAGAGCAGATGATAGAGTGGGAAATGCACTGTCAAGAAATTTTGATGAAAATAAGAAAAAAATTTGAAGTGAGATAAACAAGTTAAGAAAGCCTAGGGAATGAATGGATTTATCAGTTAAAAACAGTGGTGGGGAGTTAGTAGATGGGGAGATGGAGGTACTGGGTAGATGGTGAGAATATTTTGAGGAACTTTTAAATGTCAATGAAGAAAGGGAGGCGGTAATTTCATGCACTGGCCAGGTAGGTATACCATCTTTTAGGAGTGAAGAAGAACAGGATGTGAGTGTGGGGGAGGTGCGTGAGGTATTATGTAGAATGAAAGGGGGTAAAGCAGCTGGAACTGACGGGATCATGACAGAAATGTTAAAAGCAGGGGGGGATATAGTGTTGGAGTGGTTGGTATTTTTGTTTAATAAATGTATGAAAGAGGGGAAGGTACCTAGGGATTGGCGGAGAGCGTGTGTAGTCCCTTTATATAAAGGGAAGGGGGACAAAAGAGACTGTAAAAATTGTAGAAGAATAAGTTTACTGAGTATACCAGGAAAAGTGTACGGTAGGGTTATTATTGAAAGAATTAGAAGAGAGAGAATGTAGGATGGCGGATGAGCAAGGAGGTTTTAAAGTGGGTAGGGAATGTGTAGATCAAGTGTTTACATTGAAGCATTTACGGGAACAGTATTTAGATAAAGGTAGGGAAGTTTTTATTGCATTTATGGATTTAGAAAAGGCATATGATAGAGTGGATAGAGGAGCAATGTGGCAGATGTTGCAAGTATATGGAATAGGTGGTAAGTTACTAAATGCTGTAAAGAGTTTTTATGAGGATAGTGAGGCTCAGGTTAGGGTGTGTAGAAGAGAGGGAGAATACTTCCCTGTAAAAGTAAGTCTTAGACAGGGATGTGTAATGTCACCATGGTTGTTTAATATATTTATAGATGGGGTTGTAAAAGAAGTAAATGCTACTACAACTACTACAAGCACTATAACAAATACTATTACTACTACTACTATAACAAATATTATTACTACCTTCATACGCCCTGGGTCTCGATTAAACATATCGTTGGTATTATACCGATGAAACTCTGGGTTAGAGAGAAATTAGCAGTATTTGCCTAACAAATACGGTACTTAAAACTAATTTTTGATTTCATTTAAAATTTTGTGATGGTGACACGAGACAGATTTAAAAAACAATTGGTACTGTACTCACCTCCCTCATCACCATCCCCACCATGCCAGACCATGAGCCGTTTTTCAGTTTTACTCCCCAGACTCCATCAGGAGGTCGAACGAAGCTGTATCTGTTGATATATATTGATAACGGTTTTCAGTAGAATATAAATTACATATAGTACCCAACATGTGCTGCTCTACATATAGACACAGTTAATGGAAAACTTACAAGCAACCTCAGAGGTTTTCTCGTGCCGCCACGCAAGTAACTTAAGCAACTTAATGTACTTGTGTGGCAGCGCACCGACATTAGAGAAGTCGCAGATCACACCATACTCCCTATACACGCACACACACACACACACACACACACACACACACACACACACACACACACACACACACACACACACACACACACACAATAACCCCTCCCCCCTTCTGTATAAATAATAATAAGAAAAACTTATAAAGCTGGGATGTTTGAATGTGAATTGATGTAGTGCAGATGATAAGAAAAAGATGACTGCCAGTGTTATGAAGGAAAAGAAATTGGATGTCCTAACCTAAAGTGAAACAAAGGTGAAGGGGGTAGGGAAGATTCAGTGGGGAGAAATAAAAGGGATTAGGTCAGGAATATTTGAGAGACTTAGAACTAAAGAAGGGGCATCAATTATGTTGAAGGATCTGTTACAGAAGAAGTGGGAATATAAATGTATAAATTCAAGGATTCTGTAGATTAAAATGAGGGTTGGATGCTAAAAGTGGGTTATAACAAGAGTTTATGCACTTGGAGAAAAATGTAGAGGAAAGAGAGAGATTTTGTGTGATGTTAAATGAGCTTAGGGAGTTTGAAAGAAGTGTGAGCATTTATTGTAGGAGACCTGAATGCTAAAGTGGGAGAAACGGTTGTATAGGGCCTGGTAGGTAAGTCTGGGGTGACAGGGGTAAGTAATAATATGGGACAGTTGACCGAACTTTGTATAAAAAGAGGTTCGGATAAATAACTAAATGACATGATATAGGGTGTAATGAAAGTAGTTTGTTGAACAATGTATAGATAAATAAAAGAATGATGAGCAAACTTCTGATGTGCATGGTTTGAGAGGGGGTAACGGATATATCGGATTTTTAGTTATAGCTACAGTAAGAGTTAAAGGTAGATGAAGTGCAAGGAGAATTGTAGCAGAAAGAGAGAGGTGAAGGGTTATAAGCTAATGAAGGAGTCAGTTATAGAAAGTTGGGCTTGAGTATAGGCAATCAGGTTGAAGAGGTATGGGATAGATATAGGAATGTTGTGTTAGTGTTCAGCAGAAGTTTGTGGTTGCAACAAAGTGGGTGCGGGAGGGAAGAAGAGCGATTGGTGGAATGAGGTAAGAGAGGAAAAACTTAGCATATGAGAGGGTGTTACCAAGTAGAAGTGATATAAGGAGGGAGGAATATATGGAGAGAAAAAAAGAGGTTATGAGAGAGGTGAAGGAATGTAAAATGAGAGCAAATGAGAGAGTGGGTGAGATACCTTAAAGAAATTTTGCTGAGAATAAGAATTAGTTTTGAAGAAATCCTAGGGAACGAATGTATATGACAGAAGAGTTGCATATATCAGAAAGACTGCGGGAATATTTTGAGGAACTATTAAAAGTTGATGAAGGTAGAGAGCCTTTGATTACGTGCATTCGCCAGGGAGGTATAACATCTTTTAGGAGTGAGGAGGAGCCAATTGTGAGTATGGGGAGGTGTGTGAGACTGTGGATAGAGTGAAAAGGGGTAAAGCAGCTGAGACTGATTGAATTAAGACAGATATTTTAAAACCACGAGGGGATATAGATTTGGAATGGTTGGTGCGTTTATTTAATAAATGTATGAAAGAGGGGACGGTAACCAGAAACCGGCAGACAGAGCATGCATTGTTCATTTGTATAAAGGCAAAGCAGACTAAAGAGAGTGAAAAAAATATTGGGTAATAAGCCTGTTGAGTATACTTGGTAATGTGTATAGCAGAGTTATTATTGAAAGAACTAATAGTAAGATAGAGAGCAAAATCGCGTAATAATAAGGAAGCTTAAGGAAAGGCAGAGGATGTGTAGACCAAGTTTTTTCAGTGAAGCATATTAGTGAACATGATTTAGATAAATGGAAAGAAGTTTTTGTTACGCTTATGGATTTGGAAAAGAAATGATATAGTGGCTAGGGGACCAATATGGCAGATGTTGCTGCTGCAAGTGTATGGAATAGGTGGTAGGTTAATTAAAGCAGCTAAAAGTTGTTAAAGTGGATAGTGAGGCTCAGATAAGAGCGTGTAGGACAAAAGGAGATTATTTCTAAGTAAAAGTAGGCCTTGGACAGAGATGCATAATGTCACCATAGTTGTTCAATAAATTTATAGATGAGTTTGTAAGGGGAAGTGAATGCTCAGGTGTTGGTGTTAAAATATGAAACTCTAACATAAAGTGGTAGTTGACACATTTGCTTTTTGCTGATGACACTGTGCTTTTGGGAAATTTTGAAGAGAAGTAACAGAGGTTGGTGGGACGAGTTTGAGAGGGTAAGTAAAAGAAGGAAACGAAGAGTGAACTTAGGAAAGAGAGAGGTGATGAAGTTAACGCAAAATTTATGTAATTTATGTTAACATACAATCTACATAATTTATTTTAAGAAAGTTTATGTAATTTATGTAACATACATGGTTCTGGTAAGCTCAGAACTAATTTCATTCTTCTCCCGTTTAAAACACCAGTCTTCACGAGCAGTATACACATTAATGTATCTACGACCAAGTGGTTCTTAAGCAAATAACAAACTGCGACTGGCTGAGAATCTAACCGGTGTTAATATAGTCCGCCTCATGGGAAGCCATTCAAAATTAACGGCGCTCTAAACACTGAGCCATCAATCCTACAAACATTATGTACCCAGTAGCACTGGGCAGGTTTCATGATGCAAGGACATTCGTGGATGTGGTAAGCTAGGAACTAATTTATTTCTACTCCCATTTAAAATTCCAGCCTTCACGGGCAGTACACATGTTTATGCTTCCATGAACAAGTGGTTTTCAAGCAATTAAGAAACTGCAACTGGCCGGGGATCGATCCCTTGTCATTTTAGCCTGTCAAAACCAGTCAAAATTCTCAGTCAAAATTCTCAAGCAACCCTACAAAAATCACGTACCCAGTAACACTGGGCATATTTCATGAGTATAGTGAGCCTAACAACTAATTTCATTCTGCTCCCGTTCACAAGTAGTACAGCCTTCACAAGCAGTATACATAGTGCATCCACGAACAACTGGCAGCGACTAGCCTTGGATACACGATGTTAGTAGGACTGATGGCACACAGGTTAGAGAGTTGAAGATTTTGACTGTCAACGACGCGGGCGAAAATTACACAAGTTCGATCCCCGGCTAAAAAGGCTGGAGGCAGTGGAGATGTCATGTCTGAGGGCAATGTGTGGTGTGAATATAATGCAGAGAATTCGTAGTTTGGAAGTTAGGAGGAGGTGCGGGATTACCAAAACTGTTGTCCAGAGGGCTGAGGAAGGGTTGTTGAGGTGGTTCGGACATGTAGAGAGAATGGAGCGAAACAGAATGACTTCAAGAGTGTATCAGTCTGTAGTGGAAGGAAGGCGGGGTAGGGGTCGGCCTAGGAAGGGTTGGAGGGAGGGGGTAAAGGAGGTTTTGTGTGCGAGGGGCTTGGACTTCCAGCAGGCATGCGTGAGCGTGTTTGATAGGAGTGAATGGAGACAAATGGTTTTTAATACTTGACGTGCTGTTGGAGTGTGAGCAAAGTAACATTTATGAAGGGATTCAGGGAAACCGGCAGGCCGGACTTGAGTCCTGGAGATGGGAAGTACAGTGCCTGCACTCTGAAGGAGGGGTGTTAATGTTGCAGTTTAAAAACTGTAGTGTAAAGCACCCTTCTGGCAAGACAGTGATGGAGTGAATGATGGTGAAAGTTTTTCTTTTTCGGGCCACCCTGCCTTGGTGGGAATCGGCCAGTGTGATAATAATATATATATATATATATATATATATATATATATATATATATATATATATATATATATATATATATATATATATATATGTATATATATATATATATATATATATATATAATATAATATATATATATATATATATATATATATATATTATATATATATATATATATATATATATATATATATATATATATATATATATATATATATATTATACATACATATGTCGTGCCGAATAGGTAACACTGAACAATTAGCAAGAACTCGTTTAAAATTAAGTCTTTTCTAAATTTTCTCTTATACGTTTAGAGATACACATTTTTCATTTATGTTAACGTAAAAAACAATAATTTTGTACCAAAATCCCCATCGGTTTTTAATAAGCAGTGCAACTCCTCTGCTCCCTTTATCTTTCCACAAGATGTGATATCCAGGTAGGAAGACTGCATCTGTTATCATCCCTGTGAGTTTCGTTTCTGTGAGTGTTATGATGTCCTTGATTCTTTCATGCCACTCCTCACTTTTGTTCGCTGTACCATCTGCATTCGTATACCAAACCTTCAACTTCTTTTCTAAAACCGGGGTCTGTGGAGAACGTTGTGGTGCGGGGGATCTGACGGGGATCTATGGGGGATAGCTGTGGGGTTGAAGTTTGTGATGAGGGGGGTAGGGAGAGTGGGTAAGGTGTGTGGGTTTTGGGTTAGATTGTTTGGTTGCAGTGCTCACCTATTTGTGGTTGCAGGGATTGAGACTCAGCTCCTGGCCCCGCCTCTTCACTGACCGCTACTGGGCCCTCTCTCTCCCTGCTCCATGAGCTTCATCACACCTCGTCTTGAAACTATGTATGGTTCCTGCTTCAACTACATCACTTGCCAGACTATTCCACTTCCTGACAACTCTATGGCTGAATAAATACTTCCAAACATCCCTTTGATTCATCTGATTCTTCAGCTTCCAATTGTGACCTCTCTGTTCACCTTATTTATTTCACGCAATATTTTGTATGTTGTTATCATGTCTTCCCTAACCCTCCTGTACTCCAGACCGATTTCCCTTAACCTTCCTTCGTAGGACATTCCCCTTAGCCCTGGAACTAGATTGGTTGCAAATCTTTTCACTTTCTCTA